TTATAATTAATATTTAATAGGTAATCGTTGGCCCCTGGTACCTTAAAAATAAATTTTTTTCAAATTACTATCTTGTACGAAATTTCCTGGCGCATCTTTTTTCTCATCATAAATTTTTTGTATTTGTATACAACTTTTGAATCAATATACAATTTTTGAATTAATATACAACTTTAAAAAAAATTTCGTTGGTAAACATTGTGTACTTCAGCTTCGTGAATTGAATTTTCAAATTTGGAATTTTAAAGAAACTTATTTTATTATTTTATTTTAAAGAAATTTGGAAACACAATTATACAACTTTGGCAAAAATGAGAAAAAGAATTGTCAAAATTTGACACGTCATAAGATTACTATTCAAAAAAACACGTGAAATCAGAAAAGGCCAACTTCAAATTAGGACAGAAAGACAGACCAAACATTTTATTATTATACATATAATTATTTAATTAATTTTTTTTACAGAGAAAATTTAAAAATAATTAAAATTCTCATCTTGATATTATTTTTTTGCTACAAATATTTTTTTGTTACATTTTCGTAGTAAAAAATTAAGTAACTAATAATTACCGTAAAACAGGGTTATTTCGCTCAGTGCGGGTAAAGTCGCTCACCCATTTTTTTGCTTTAAATTTGATTAAAAACTAAAATTTAGTATTTCTATTAACAAATTTAACATTTTTACCTGCTAATAAAGGTATTAAACTTTATTTTAAAGCTGAAATAAAGCATAAAAGTAGGTGAGCAAATTTACCCGCAATGAGCGAAATAACCCCGTTTTACGGTACGTTATTTAGTTAATTAATTTATTTACAGAGAAAATTTGACAAAAAATTATTTTCTCATCGTGATATTTTTTTAGGTCACAAATAATTGTCTTAAAAAAATTGTTTTTACTACGAAAATTTAACAATAAAATTATTTTTTAATGGTAATATTTTTTTTGGCCAACAAATTTTTTTTTGTCAAATTTTCGTTAAAAATAATTAATTAACGAATTATTAAGTATGACATTATGTTATTAATAATTATTTATGACATTAATTATTTATTAAGTTAATTATTTGTCATATTTAAAATAAAATAAAATATCACAGCCACACAAAAAAAAGTACCCGGGCCGGGGAATGAGACCACCATTTCTTGATGTATTTTGATGCGCTGAACACGAATCTGAAGTCCGTTTAGCTCCATCACGTCAGGATTTTGACATAACCTCAAAAAACATAGCTGATTTTAATTGTTGCAGAAAGATGATCTTTGGTTGGAAATCTGTTAAAAATAAGGAGTTTATCAAATACTCTTATCGAACAGTTTGGACAAAACCTACATGTGAAGAAAATTTCAACTTTTGTATGAATGAAATAAAAGGTTTCAGTGTTAAAAATAAAAATAAAATTTCGTATGTCACCGTTTACATCAGTGACATCTGATCAATCTCAAAACCGAAGATTTCATTATACAGTTTACGTACTTCTTCGTCAATCCTGTTCCGCAAAGACTTTACCTCGAATTTACTGCAAATATAACAAAAAAGGTCTCGTTTTTTGCTAAAAATATGAGAGTTTAAGTCTATATCAGGTTGTTTTCTTGTCGTATTATACTCTACATTAGCCAAGTTTCCCATCAATGAAGGGCTGCAGTTGCTGGATGACGACGACCGAGAGTCTGCTTTCTCACTCTCAACCGCCGATACTGGGGTTCCGAGTCCCTGCATCGTAATACGTTTCCTACGTGTGTCTGCCATGACGGCATCAAAGCCATTATCCAGGGACTTAGCCGGATAGCGGACAAACTCCGTTGCCCACCGTCACCACGTGGAGGTGCCCTCGATGCAGAAACATGTAGAAACATAACGATATTTGACCACCGTACTATATCTGCCATTTTACATTTGAATAATCTGACGTTAAATTCGTAATCAGCGACTTCAAATTGGATCCGCCATTTTGAATTTGAATAATCTGACGATAAATTTGTAATCAGCGACTCCCAAAACCCCTAGATACCAATTTTTGTAAAAATCCAACTACTTTTTAAAAATTCGTCCGCCATATTGGATCCGCCATTTTGAATTTTATAAATCTGACGTTAAATTCGTAATCAGCGACCCCAAAAACCCCCGAGTAACAAGATTCAAGCAAATCTGCCATTATTTAAAAAATTTCTCCTGTCATTTAAAATCAGCTATGTTTTTTGAGGTTATGTCAAAATCCTGACGTGATGGAGCTAAACGGACTTCAGATTCGTGTTCAGCGCATCAAAATACATCAAGAAATGGTGGTCTCATTCCCCGGCCCGGGCACTTTTTTTTGTGTGGCTGTGTATCTAATAAAATCAAATTTTTCAAATGTTTCCGCGCTGCGCTGATGGCTCAGCTCTGGACTTAAGTTCGCTCAACGCCACAGGGAGGGCGAACATCATAACTGTTTCTCATAGTTAAGGTGCCATTAGATTGGTATATAAGCAGTGATCGAAAAATTTTTTTTTGTCGAAATTTTTTTCTGCCCGATGTCTCTCCTTTATTGGATTTGAGACAAATTCTTTTTTGGATGAAATGGTTTCACTAATAATTTGATGACCATTTTTTTATTTTAATTTAAATATTAAAAATAAATTTTTTTTAAATTATTGATTTTTTAAATTATTATTCAAATTTTTAATATTGGATATTGGACTTACTAAATTACTAAATAAATAATATTAAAATAATTTTTGCAACATCGTAAACGACGTAGTAAACGACGTAGTTTGCTATCCCAAATTCCGCTTTCATTTACGACGTCGATTACTATGTCGTTTTCTACGTCATTTACTACGTCGTTTACTACGTCGCAAACTACTTAGAATACGATGTCGTAAACGAGGTCGAAATTTTTAACTGGGTATTGCTCTAAAGTTAATATACAAAATGTCGTTTTTTGTCACTTAACCCTCCGTCCGACACCCGGGTCCAGCCAGACCATTTTCGATTTTAAACGTTAATTAAATATACTTCTAGTTTTGCTAGAGACTTGTGATTCCGGGCAGCTTTATAAAATTTTAATAACTAACAATGTATAAAAGAACAAAGTAAAAAGTTGAGTTAAATAAAATGTTATCAGAATAATATAAATAAATTTTGATCAAAACTTGGATTTTAGCTGAACCATAGGTGTCAGACGGAGGGTTAAACTTATTTTTTAGTGAAAAATTAAAATTCTGGAGTATTTTCGACTTCAGATTCGTAATCTGTGTGAAAAAATTTATGAAAATCGATTTCCAGGTTACCTATCGATTATTTATTACCATTAAATTAAATATTAAGATATACTTAACCTCGCTTCCCTGGCGGATTGGGTAAACCGAGTTGTAACCGAATTGGGTTAGGATTCGGTTACGATTCGGTTACGTTTCGGGTCCTTGTAAAATATTGTCGTTAATCGACGAAATATGTTGTAAATAACTATTAGGAATGGTTAATAGACATTTAGAGTGCTTATTTATGCAATAATAAGAATAAATTAAGATATAATTACTTCATAATAAGTGTTTTAAGTTTACAGTGCATACAATTGTTGAGTTACCATATATGTATATTACCATCAGCGGCAGCTGTGATGCGCGCGTTAAACACTAGATGGCGTTCAAGATTACTTTGTGAATGAATTTCTAAAATTAAACCGTTGAGTGTCAAATGTGTAAGTGAATATAAATTTTAAAAAAATAGATCGATTTATTAAAACAACTTTTTTCATTTGTACAAATAAAAAAAAAATTTTATTATGAACAAAAATTTTTTTAATAAAAAATTTTTTTTTCTGTCAAAATTAATCTTTCTCCTTTCATTGAGAAAAGAAATTTTTTTATTCGGAAAATTTTTTTTTTTTCAAAATTAATAATTATTTCTTATTTTATTGAGAAAAAAAGTTTCTTTTGTGTCATAATTACTTTTTCTCATTTCATTGAAAAAATAAAATTTTTTATTAAGAAAAATATTTGTTTGTGTAAAAATTAATCTTTTCATTTTATTGTGAAAAAAGAATTATTATTAAGAAAAAAATTTTTTTAGGGAAAAATAGATTTCTTTGTGTCACAATTAATTTTTCTCATGTCATTGAGAAAAAAAAATTTTATTGAGAAAATTTTTTTTTCATATTTGTAGAAATGAAAAAAGTTGTTTTAATTAATCGATCTATTTTTTTAATACTTATATTCACTTACACATTTGTCACTCTAAAGTTTAATTTTAGAAATTCATTCACAAAGTAATTTTCAACGCCATCTACTGTTTAAAGCCCGTATCACAGCTCCCGCTGATGGTAATATACATATATGGTAACTCAACAACTGTATGCATTGTACACTTAAAACACTTATTATTGAGTAATTATATCTTAATTTATTGTTATTATTGTATAAATAAGACAATATTTTACAAGGAACCGAAACGTAACCGAATCGTAACCCAATTCGGTTACATCTCGGTTTACCCAATCCGCCAGGGTTAACACTACAACTACCGAAGATCCTGCATACCTATAGAACTACCACCGGGACATTTTGTCTAATGATTCATTTATGTTTTTTTTATTAACATTTACAAATTAGAAAAATAAAATAATACTATTATAAAATAAAACGCAAATGAAAAAATAATTTTCAATCAACTTAGAGTAATACTTTTAAATTTTCTTTTGGTGAAACACTTCTTTCATTTGTGAATGTTTTTTTCTATTTAAAGGAGAGTCCAGAATACGGGTTTCTGAACGTTGACGCGTTGATAGCGACGCGTCGGTCTTATGGGACATCAATGGGAGAGACAAAGACAGAATGATACGTCGACGTTCAGAAACCACTTATTCTGGACTCTCCCTAACACATTGTGTTGAATAAAATAAAAACCACCTAAGCGACGCTTTAAGGCTTAAAAAATAATGAATTTGATATAAAAGCTTTTCGTTTTATGTACCTTTCAAATAAGTACTTACTGGGTGAGGATCAGAAATAAGTTAAGTGTATATTGGTATTCCTAATATATTCTTACAGTATAATAATATAGTAATCACATAGGTAACATTCTGCTTCGTATGTATATTTATATGCACAATTTGATAATATTTTATACTTAGCTTTCACATACTACTTTAATATTTTTAATTAATCTTTCTCTGTAACTAAAAAACGCGCGCATCACATTAATAAAAAATGGCTGAGCAGCTTTCTAATTTTTTTTTATCATCTTTAACAGTTGTCAACTTCATACGTTTATATTTTACAGGCGCTATGGCAATTGGAACATTTTATTCCAACATGAAAATACGAGTATAGGAATAGATGATGCTTAGATATTTACAAAAGAACTTACCACTTTTTAGCGGCATATTAATATTTTCTTGTATATATTTTTATGTTGCTTATTAAAATTTGTTATTTTTATTTCCCATAATCTCACATCTATTGTCTCCATGCATGAATAATAATAAGAAAATTTTAGTAACAAGTAGAGATGTATTTCTTTGTTTTATTTGTTAATTGTAATAATTGAATTTATTGTAGTTAGAAAAATTTTTAAATTCGAGTAGTCAAATCTGATATGTGTATTTTAACAATAAATATTTATTTTCAATTAATTAAGCATTAACAAGCCTTTTTGAACATAAGTACTTCTAAAAACTAAATGTTGCATATTGTAATTTGTACTTAACAATAACAAAGCATATAAATAATTGAAATATAAAATAATAAAAAAATTTTTTTATAGACAATAAATCATGTTTAAACATACAATAATTTTAGAATAAAATTCCACATAAGAGGGCCTATATTCAAACTGAAACATTTTGAACAAACTGTTTTACAAATTAATGTCCAGTAATTATCGACGTAATAAAGAGGTGGATATCGTTATATTAATTTCAAAACTATTTCAAAAATTATTCTTGCCTACTTTCAAGTTAAATATTTTAATTTTTTAGGTTCTACGTAAATACTGGAATCTCGGTATAACGAGAAGTTGAGAACCATAAACATTTGATGTGGCGAAGGCGAGAGGGGATCCAACCACAAGACTAGTTTTTATTGAATATCAATTTTTAACCTACGAATTAATTATTATGTAAATAATAAAAAAAATAAATTACTTGTTTTATTCGAAACTTTTTTAAAATTATTATTTACGTTGTTTGTTGAACAGGAGGAATCTGAGATGATCCCATTTTAAATTTTGTAATAAAATGCACTTAAATATAATAGTAAATAACAAAATTTTGGAGCAACTCGTTATAACAAATGCTCGTCATAGCGAGATTCGAGTGTACTTAAGATACAATCTTAATTAAATACTCGTATATGTTAATTTTCTTTACATTATTTTTATTTTAAAAACTTACGATTTATTCAAAATATTTTTTTAAAAAAAGTTAGCAGACTGAATTAGATTTATGAAAATGTCGAAATTTTGAAACTTATGTGTAGAGCTGTACAAAGTTATGTTTAGAATCATGGATGTTTTCTTACAAGGATGTAGACAACCATTAAAATACTTGCTTTTCAACAAATTATAATTAATTCTGAATCTAAATATTAATTTTTAATAAATTATAAAATAAAAAATCTTTGTAAAACAAAGAAAACATCTTACAGAAAACAATTGCATCTCTTTGACTGTATAAAATTTATGTAATGATTTAATCACAGCTGCGATATAAAAGAGATGATAAAAATGTAGAGAACCTATCAAGCTTAGTAAACTTTATCAGATTTCTGTTGATAGGCAATTTAATATTAACACATGTATCTTAAAATTTTAAAATTACACTTTAGAATTTTTTTATTTATAAATGGCTGAGAGAATATTTATTCGTGCATGGAGGAACAATTAATGGAAAAGATCTTAATAACTAAAAAGCAACAAATTGAACTATTTATTGCACATTCATTGGAAAACATACCTTAAAGCAACTTATCATAACAGCTCTAAACTCGAGAAACTGTTCATCTCTCACTATACAAAAATTGAGCAGTCTTAAAATTTCTCTCATAAAAGAATCTGGATATTAACAACGAACTATCTTAAAAAAAGTGAATGCACATAATTATTTGAACTGTATGATGATCCTTAAAAATTATTAGAACAAGTACAGTCATAATTTTCGAGCCAGTCGACATCACTATTGAATAATACAATCACTCTAGGAATGGAATAAAAAATATTTGTATCATCATTATAAAGCTTATGACACCAGCGAGAGAAACTTGGTTGTGTCCTAAACTTGGAGTGCGTCTAAGCTAAAAGACTGGTTTAATATTCAACTAACGTCAATGGACACCATTGGCAACTTTGCGAAGTTTAGATTTGTCGAACATACAGATGCTTCCGAGAAGAGCGGTACGTTCATTCGATGGCGCCACATTTGGAAGATTAGTGCCAAAAGACGTGGATGATACCGGCAATGGAGGCGGAGCCGGCGCTTTCCTTGATTCAGGGTTGGTCTGCAGATCTGATGAACCTTCAACACAAAATAATCCATAAACCTTTTACTCACTTCTTGTTCGAAACTGAAACTCAAATAATTGCTAATAGTGTATAAGCAATCGTTGTTTACATTGGCGTTTGCAGCATGCCAACATCAAAGTAAACTATTTGGCTGCTTTGGGCCCGTTTTAATTACTATACTTTTTATTACAAAGACGGGAGAAAGAGTTGAGCTATTGGACGGTCACATGTTGGAAAGGGTAAAATTCTGAAATTATACCCCTACTAGAGGACACACACTTAGTGTTTTAGTCCTTCCCACACTTTCTCCCACCTACACACCTGTTTTTAATGAAGAAAAAATTGGTCCCCGATGCCGAAAAAAATCTCTTTGAATATTTTGAATCTCTGTACCCTAAATAAACAAAATTTCAAAGATTCAAAATCGTAACCGATCGTAATAACAAAAATAATACATTACTACAATTTTTGGCAATAAAAGTTGGATGATCAATATTTTAATTTTAAATCCATACTGTCAACAAAAATAATAAGAGAGTATTTTTATTAGAACACCGCAGATGTAAACATTAGATTATCGGAATTTTCTACCATTTCTTATTCTTATTAATATACGCAACATTAGTTACTGCTATTGCAATTTGTATTTGTACCGTGTAAGAAAATAAATGATAAAAAGTTGGTTAAAATTAGTTCAAAGTTTTGTAGATGTGGTTGATTTATTTTTAATCTATTTAAAAATGACTTATTACTACAAGTTAATTCACGCGTGTTGTCATGATTAAAATAAAAAAGAATTTATGCCTTATGTGGTAGAAAAATTGTTTGCAATGACAGTAATTTAGAAACTTTTTTTATCACAGAAAATCAAGAAAAGCTGATCCAGAATAAAAATTTTTCTTTAAATAATTTAAAATTTCCAACGATAGAGTTGCCGTTAATATGTTCAGATAATATTTTTTGACAATTTAGGGGATGTAGGGGCAAAACGGAATAGTTGCCAATATTCAAACATTAATGGACCAATAATGGTCATATTGCACATAATGTGGAACCAATATGACAGTTTTCAAGTTGTAAAAACATTGAAAAAATATTTAAAAATTACTGTTACTGTTCTAAAATTTTGATAAAGATTCAGCAAGGGCTGTCTTAAAAGTGTTACCTCTTAAAATAAGACATCTATTCGGCCTTAAAATAAGACTTTCTTTTTACAGTGTTAAGAATAAAAAATATTTTGCATGTATTTTTAGGTAATAATCTTGCAATAACCATACCTTTTATAACCATTTTATAGTTGTTACAAAACAGTTCCAGAACTGTTACAAATACATTTGTAACTATGTTCTAGATCTGTTACAGAATCTTACATATCCGCTGAGTACGACATTTTGCGTAACCAGTGATTCACAGGTTCTTAACCAGTTACAGAACCTGTAACAGTGTTTGCTGGGTAGTCTCAATTAGTACTAAAAGAAAAAAAATCAGAGATGCAATTGCAGATGGACTTACACTTTGGCGTGGAATACATCATATGTATAATAATATTCTTATAAAATATTTAATATAATATAACTAACTAAAAATTTAGTTATATTTAACTTTATCTTATAAGAATATTATTATATATAAGAATAGTGTGATGTAAAAAAAATTGGTAAGTCTCAACAAATTGCAAGTCTTATAGTAATTTTTTACGCAAAAAATTTAAAAATTACTTAAATATAAAACAAAGCAAATATTAAATTTCTAATAAATATAAATTATAAAAATTTACAAAATTCAAAACTTTTAAAAGTTCTCAAATTAATTTTAACCTACCCAAAATGACTAAATTTTGCAATTCGACTAAGTTTAATTACTATATAGATTCGAGCAAACTGTATATTAATTCTTTGTTGAATATCAAAAAATTTATGTTTTGGTCACGTTTCAATATCGAATATTATTGAAATTCTATGTTATATAATATTCAAATATTAAAAAAATTGATGTTAGCATAAAAATTGACAATATTACATTGCAAGGCATTATTAATAAAAAAAATTCAAATATGAATCTTACAACAAAAAGGATCAAACCCCAGCAAACACTGTTACAAATTTTTTGAGAACATGTTCTGTAACTGGTTAACCCCTTCGCAGTCGAGACCTAAATCCCATAAGTGGGCCCCAAATGTCACTAACTTTTTGAAAAACTAAAATTTGTGCAAACGTGTATACTACTATATTTGAGGTTGCTGATTGCAAATCTCGCATCAAATAGTGTAATTTTATGTTTTTTTTTGTCGCTGAATCCGAATCTAAAGTCAGAATTGTTAGATTCGCTCAAATTTTTGAGATAATTGCAAAAAAACGCAAGTAACAAAAAACTCAAAATCAGTTTTTTGGAATTATCTTCAAAATTTGAGCCAATCTGTCAATTCTGACTTCGAATTCGGATTCAGCATGAAAAAATACATAAAACTGAACTATCGTAGTGTTTCGGCAAAAAAAAATTTCTTTGAGCTAAAATCGCCAAGAACTAATGAAAATTCTGAATTAGGGGCACAGATAATTTTTTTTGCCGAAACACTACGATAGTGCATTTTCATGTATTTTTTCACGCTGAATCTGAATTTGAAGTCAGAATTGACAGATTGGCTCAAATTTTGAAGATAATTCCAAAAAACTGATTTTGAGTTTTTTGTTACTTGCGTTTTTTTGCAATTATCTCAAAAATTTGAGCGAATCTAACAATTCTGACTTTGGATTCGGATTCAGCGACAAAAAATACATGGAATTACACTATGGCAGTGACATTCAAACATTTTTTAACTTTTTGATTTTATTTTTCTTTCTGAGCAATTTTTTGATTTCATCTCAAAAATAAAAGCCAATCTGATAATTCTGACTTCGGATTCAGCGTGAAAAAATACATGGAAATAGACTAGTGTAGCGTCTCGCCCAAACAGCTTTTTATTTTTTGTGTGCCTGTGTAATTTAAGTAAATTATTTATTCCCTAAATTAACTAATTAATTGGAGGGCAAGGATTCATAATCAATTGAATCTTACACATTAACGAATTGATCGCCTATTGCAATGAATTTGAGATATATGTATCTTCAAGAGACTTACGAATTGCTTTTGTTACCACTTAGCCCCTTCACTGTTATTGACCTCTATAGAGGCATAAAAATGTCGTGCCACCAGTGTGCATGACCGCTATAGTGGCATCTCAAAAAAAATAAGTAGACACAAAATGATAAATTATCGATAGTTTACTTCAATATTTTAATAATCTTTTACTTCATGTGTGTTAGGTTGGGTTAGGTTATATGTAAGCGTATTACATGTATTGTGCATGTTATGTTCACATTTTACCCAACTATTGACTGAAATTTAAGCTTTAAAAGGTGAAACTCTGCAATGTTTTGAATACATTCTCCTACATTTTTAGACTACATTTTATTCAAATGTGGTTTGATAATTAACTCACAGTTTTATATTCTTTTCAAAGTGTTGCTGAAATTTTATGAAGTTTATTTTAAAAATTCATCAGTTTATTTTCACCTACTAAAAATTTATTTTGAATTACAGTTGGTGAAACTTTGTTCAAAAGCGCATGTGTAGCCATTTTATCCAACTTTTTGAGTAAACTTTATACAAAACATTTTCTCAGTGTGTTACATCTTGTTATATAACAAATATTTAACCATTACGTATTCGTGTTTGCTGGGATAGTATTAAGAAAACAATCTTCAAGTTAACGAAAAACTTTTATTGTAATTTAGATAATCTTAAGAGTTTAGAAAATGTATGTAAAATTAAGTACAACGAAGCTCTGTTTAAAGTGGAATGCAGCCCACATAGCACCATTCTTTCCAGAAAATTTCCAGGAAACTATCCGAGGTAAGTGCTGAGGTCCAAAAACATAAATACAGGGTCATAATTTGTGAAATCAGCACAGAAACCTGTTATAATTCTACTTTACTAATATTTAATTTGCATAAAAAATTACAACGCGAAAAATCGGAAAATAAAATCTAGATGCTGATAAATAAGCAAACGATTATATTTGAGCCTCTGGATTGTAGAAGGGAACGTAAATTTTTTCGGCCGGAAAACGAAATCCCCTTGACACACAAAATTCATTTTTCAAATTTTAATATTTTCGAGCATATTCTTATACAGAATTCGATTGCGCATCTTTTTTTTAATAAAAAACTTTGCATCTTTTTCGGGTTCTGAAATAAAAGAGAAAAACTGGTTTTTTGGGAACGTAAAATTTAATTGTTTTTTTGACTTCAACTCGCGCTAGCTCAGTCAATTTTACGAATTTATTAATTTTGCAAAAAACCATAAAGGAGGAACCATTTTTGACTAAAAATTCAACTTTTATGCATAGTTAATAACAATTAAAATGCTTTGATCAAAAATTTTATTTTTTCTACGCATTTCTTTATTAAATAAAAACAAATTTATACAAAAAAAGTTGAAAAAAGTTCTAGGATATTTATTAATTTTTGAAAAAACCATAACGGCGGAACCATTTTTGAATAAAAATTCAACTTTTATGCATAGTTAACACAGGCGTAACTACTATACCGCGAAACTCTGCATTGCAGGGGGCTCCAGAGTCCAGGGGGCCTCGAAAAACTACGCGAAAGAAATTTTTTTTGTGACATGAAAAATAAAATTTTTTAGTGATAGTAAAAAAAAATTATTTAATTTAAATTTTCTTTCAAAAATTGTGAGACAATTTTTATTATATATAATATACTTTACACTTTTTTAAAGTGAAAAATGATAAGTGAATGAAAAAAATTAAATTAAATTTTGACATTAATTTTTTCCATGCACTTTCGTGATTTTTTGTCCGAAATATACAGCCAGCGCTATCGTGGCGATGGTTGACAGCTTCGTTAGCTTTAACTCCAGCAGTCAAGACTGTCACAGGTGTTATTATATTGTATTGATAACAATAATCTATGGCAATAAAATCTACATCGTCTAATTGAAGAAAAAGTTTGT